GATATATATATATATATATATATATATATATATATATATATATATATATATATATATATATCGCTCTCAACCTTCCTTTCTCCATCTCTGTGTCTTATCCTGTGTGTGTAGTTGGGTGTGGGCAGGCAGTTTAAATATGTCTGTGTTGGGCGTTCACTGTGCCCAGCTGTGTGCCAGGCTGACTATGGAGGGCCGGGTACAGGAAGCACAGAGACAACTCAGAGCTCAGCAGGACCTTCTCAAAGACATCAGGTATGGCAAACCTCTCCAGACGGCTCTTTGCTACATCATATGTGTATGTATAAAAAATATCTCTCTTAATGTATTGTTTATCTCACAGTCAACAGAAGCCGAGCCCTAAAGAAGAGAGTATCTATGGGAACTGGATCAGCACCATGAGTATGATCTGTGAAGACCTCACTACTGTCAACCAGGTGTGCATACACCCTCAACCTTCCAAATAATAGTATAAATAAATGATTTCATTTTATTTTTGAATTTTATGAATTTCCAGCATCATCACTCCAGTCTTCAGTGTCACATGATCCTTCAGAAATCATTCTGATATGCTGATTTGCTGCTCAAAACATTTCTTATTATTATCAGTGTTGAGAATAGCTGTGCTGCTTAATATTTTTGTGGACTGTGATATATTTTTTCAGGATTCTTTCATGAATGGAATGTACGAAGTAAAAATTAACAGCATTTATTTGATATAGTCTTTTTTGTAACATTATTCGTGTCTTTACTGTCATCTCTATATATTTCTTAAGGATCACGTGACACTGTAGACTGGATTAATGGCTGCTGAAAATTTGCCTTTGCCATTAGAGAAATAAATTACAATTAAGCAGTTGTTTTACAACAGTATTTCACAATATTACTGCTTTACTGTATTTTGATTAAATTAATGCAGCCTTGGTTAGTGTAAAGTGAGTTTTTTTTTAAATCGTTATTATTTCAAAAATTCAAAATGTTATATAATCATTAATATTATCAAGTCATTAAAACATTATGGAATATTTAACTAATCAGTAGGTGGTGCTATTCAAATATGAATACATATCAAGCATTTTTATTACATGAATAAGTTGTATGCATTAAAATTTACTACACTTTAATACACTTTAGCAGAACATAAATCAAGCATTGTCATTGTTTACTTAATTCAGCATACCACAGTCTGGATAGACACTCTTAAATGCTTGTAGATATGTGTCAGTGATTGTGTTTAATATTCAACATGTTTTGAAATCTGCTCAGCTCCAAAAGTGCCCCAAGCCATATTAGCATTATAGATGAATCATTGTGACTAAATGATAAAGTCCTTGTGCTAAAAGCATGACACACTTTTACTCTAAACAGAACACAGCAGAAACTGACACCATACCAGCATCCCGAACACCTTCCGCTGCGGTGAGTTAAAGATCTCCCACACTTTATATGTGACCCTGGATCACAAAACCAGTCATAAGGGTCCATTTTTTTTAAATTGAGATCTATACATCATCTGAAAGCTGAATAAATACCACACTTTATATGTGACCATGGATCACAAAACCAGTCATAAGGGTCCATTTTTTTAAATTGAGATCTATACATCATCTGAAAGCTGAATAAATAAGCTTTGCATTGATGTATGGTTTGTTAGGATATGACAATATTTGGTTGAGATACAACTATTTGAAAATGGGGAATCTGAGGGTGCAAAAAAATCTAAATATTGAGAAAATCGCCTTTAAAGTTGTCCAAATGAAGTTCTTAACAATGCATATTACTAATAAAAAATTAAGTTTTAATGTATTTACAGTAGGAAATTTACAAAATATCTTCATGGAACATGATCTTTACTTAATATCCTAATTATTTTTGCCATAAAAGAAAAATCAATCATTTTGACCCATATTTTGGGCCATTGCTACAAATATACCCCAGTGACTTAAGACTGGTTTTGTGGTCCAGGGTCACATATATAACAGAAAATATAGGATTTAAAACGCAGATGTACACACAAACTTGTTAGGATTTTGAAAAACAGTTATACATAAAATGAATAAGAAATGATGCTGAGATTTCATGGATCATCACATCAAATATGTTCCCCTCCAGAGTCTCTCGGATGCGGCGGCCAAGGTGGTCTACCAAATGAAGAGAGCAAAGAGCGTGAGCGGAAAGGGACAGAGAGTTGCCATGCTGGAGCACTGAGCTCAGATGTCACCTAGACTCATGAGCGATCATTTACATGTGAAACCAGTCATATAGGCTGCTATATCAATCTCAAATTATGGGCAATGAATACTGCTTGGAATATATGCAATATAAAATATTTGCAAACTATGAGTCGATAACCTAGTATCCAGCTGGTGAGTTTCTTGTCATGCCATCACTGCTGTATTTATCTTTGGCTGGTCTGTGCATTTCAAACAATTTTGCGTGAGTAACTTGGGTAAATGTATGTCAAATTACCAGCTTAGATACTAGGGACTGTATTAATAAATATAATGCTATCAAATAAAACATGTTTGATAGAAATCACAGTCTGATTCCTCTTACTCTTTCTACTTACACCACATTAAAATCTTCAAATCATTTTCTAATGTATGCCGATTTAAAGGATAAATACTGGTCAAAGTGTGTCAACAGAACCAACTTTAGTGATGTACGTGACAAAAATGCCCTGATCATTTGCACTCTGTGTTCTTTCTTATCGCTCTCTCTGTCTTTCCCTAATGTTAATGGCAGATGTAGAGTAGCGATTGACGTTTGAAATACCATTCATGAAATGAGGCGATTCTATCTGTCTCTCTGCAGACGGTATGTACCTAGAAACCTGTGTCACCATTTGGTTCTCCCTTAAGAAAAACATCTGTTTTTCTACAGATTTAACACTACGTCAGGTTTTTCCATAATGACGCTTTGTTTTGCACATATGACCTCCGGTTCACCCCAGAAACTGACCGCAAAAGACCTTTAATTCAGTCATGATCAGGTCCAGATCTCTGTAGAATCACAGGTTTTGCAGACCATCTCCTTGTGTTATTTATTTATTCATTCATTTATAATTTTATTTCAGCTGCCAATAAGCATGTTGTACTGTCATCTCAGTTTAACATGCTTTACAATAAAGAAAATGCAAAAAAGAATACATTAAAAAAGTTTCAAACAAATGATGCAAAACCTTTTCTCAGAATAATTTTTGGGTCACACTTTATTTTAAGGTCCAATGCTCGTTACTAACAAACCATTAACTATGACTTTTGCCTCAATAAACTCCTAATTTGCTGCGTATTAATAGTCAAGGTAGTTGTTATATTTAGCTATTGGGTAGGATTATGGATGTACTATGTGGTCATGCAGAGCATGTGCTTTATAAGTACTAATAAACAGCAAATATGGTAATAATAGGCATGTTAATAAGCAACTAGTTAAAAGAGAGAGAATTAGTCCCTATATACTGAAGTGTTACCAATTTTTCTGACTTTTAGCAATGACTTTTATCCAACTGGTGTCATTTTGTGAAGTTCATCATATAAACATTTCATTCATATTAACATATGAACTTTTTTTCTTAATTTTGAACCATATAGAATAAAATTAAATCTTTGCAGATTCTGACTGGGTTTGGTCATGATCATTGTCAGTATTAGTTACAACAAAATGTAAACTACTTCCGTTTCTGCATGATTCATTTGACAAAACCTGACAACGAAGTGTGTGTGAAACAAGCATGTAATTTTGCTTGGAATCTCATCAGACAGGTTTAAGCTCACTCTATCTGGGAGAAAGAGAGAGAAAGAGTGCTGATGAGGGAGGGAGAGAGGGAGGGAGGGGCAGATCAGCCAACCAAAAGCAAACCACATGTATGATTTTCGATCATACCTGAACAGCTGGATACAACACGAGGACAGAGTAAGAGAGCACCGGATAAAAAAAAAAAAGAGTATTACAGAGGTAATTTACTCCGAGATTTTATGTAAATACAATTTTATGACTGTTAATATAGATTTGGTGTTAAGCATATAAGTCCAAATCTGTTATAAAAATTATAGTTCATACTAAATCATATAGTTAATAAAGAAGTATTTCGATTTAAAAAATTGTTGACACTTAAGCCACACTTGAAAACGAATGAATGTCATTGATCAGATGACGAATGAAACCAAGAAGTGTTTATTTGAGAGTAAGATAGCTTAAGCACACTTCTCAAGCAAAACTTTTTGTTGTTGTAAAAAGGGACAAAAACACATCTTACCACTTGTCAAACTCGATTCTGAGACACTGTGGTGAAGCACACTGTGAACCCGAGGGAACTGGCTTCATACATAAAATCATGGGACTGGCTGCTTAAATGTTACTGGGAAAAAATGCTTTGTTCTGAAAAAGTGTTCATTTGTTAGCAGATTTAACTAGGTTTGATATTTTGTTGTCTTTATTCAATGACATTCTGGAGTTTTAAGTGCCACCAGCATAATAGTACAACTGATTGGCTTCATTTGTGTGTATTTGTTCATTTGTTTCCTTTGTTTGAAATAGGTTGGGATTCCCAGAACCCACCCAGCTGCTCCACAGGACTAAGATAGTTGGCGGGTAAAGGAAGGAACATACCACTGAAGCAGACTGAAATGTGACAAGTGCTCTTACACAACATGTGCACACTTTAGCCAGTAGTGCCTCATTCCAGTGTGAAACTGCTGATTAGAGGTGAGAACACCATTTTCTAATCTGTCTAATTTAGTGAGATTTACAAAACATTTTAAATCATCTCAATGAAACTAACCTACATCCTGGACTATTAACATACACCAACTCAGTAATCCTAGAGGTCGCTTTTGTCTGTGAAGATTGACAACTGAACAATTGTTGGTATGACAACTATATTTGACCTTATAAACTGCATTTGAATATGTTACATTGGCTCTAGTTTTAGTACTTGTGACTATTTTCACAGCTTTCTTATTGACACAAGGTGTTGTGATCAGGTTCTATTTGTAGGTTTGCTGTTGTGCTGGCTAAAGAGTCTAAAACCCTAGAAGCAGAAAAAAAATTTTATCCTCCAAAATGAAATAGGAAAGCACTAGTAAAAGGGTTATAGTTACCTAAAACTAAACCCATAAAAATGTGTTACTTGAAATAAAATAAATGTTAAACGTAATAAACTAAAACATTTTTTTATTTATTTCAGCCATATGCCAAAGCAATATTTCTAATTTCTTATTTTTTATTTGAAATAAAATTAATAATAAAAAAACGTACATAGACATCTAAAAAAACAAAACTAATAAAAATAACAAAAACACAACAAAATTACTACAAATTTAACTGTACTTGAGACAAGGCAAGGCAAAGTTTATTTATATAGCACATTTCATACACAATGGTAATTCAAAGTGCTTTACACATAAAACGAATTAAAGATATAATCATAAAAACAAAACACACAAAATTAATTAAAACAGAAAAAAATTATTATACAAAAATACAGTGCAATCAGTTCGGATGCAGCACAGTGCTCATTCAGTAAATGCCCAGCTAAACAGATGTGTTTTGAGTCTAGATTTAAATGTGGCTAATGTTTTAGCACATCTGATCTCTTCTGGAAGCTGGTTCCAACAGCGGGCGGCATAATTGCTAAGAGTGGATTCCACTTGTTTTGTGTGAACCCTTGGTATGTCTAACTGACTCGATCCTAATGATCCGAGTGGTCTGCTTGGTTTATATTCAGTGAGCATTTCTGCAATGTATTTATGTCCTAGGCCATTTAGTGATTTATAAACAAGTAAAAGTACTTTAAAATCAATCCTAAATGTAACTGGAAGCCAGTTTAAGGACCTGAGGACTGGTGTGATATGCTCAGATTTTCCGGTTCTAGTCAGAATCCTGGCAGCAGCATTCTGGATGAGCTGCAGCTGATTTTTAGTTGTTTGACCCCTAGAGTAAAGGTATGCATTCCCCTTGAAAACTTCATCTTGGTTTTCCAAATGCAATGACTTCAGTTTTTTCTCACTTAACTGAAGAAAGTTGGCACATCCAACTGTTAATTTCATCAATGCATTGGCAGAGGAAGTCAATGGGGCTGTAGTCATTTGGAGATAAGGCTAGGTAAATCTGGGTATCATCAGCATATCTGTGATAGGCAATTTGGTTCTTCCTCATTATTTGACTCAGTGGGAGCATATACACTATATTGCCAAAAGTATTGGGACACCCCCTTCTAATGAACAGGTTTGAATACTTCTGGAATTTCCATGAGTACAGATCTTAATGTTTAAGCATATAATGATATTCTAGGGAAATGTGTGCTTCTAACTTTATAGCAACAGCTTGGACAGGACCCTTTTGTATTCTAACATGACAATGCCAATGTATAAGGCAAGGTAAAAAAAAAAAAGATTGATTCAGTCAGTGTGGAAGAACTTGACTGGTCTGCAGAAAGCTAAGTCCTAATCCCATCTGAACACCACTGGTGTGACTTTAAATGCAGACCTTGAGCCAAAAACTCATCACCAAACACCAATGACTTTTACTGTACACAGTTATTTTATACACTTCCAAAACTGTTGCAACAGAGATGGAAATAAATTTTTTAAATATATGAATTATGTTTCCGTCTTTGTTGCCACAGTTTTGGAAGTGCCTTTTTCTATTCTAAAGAAGGGGGTGTCCCAATACTTTTGTCCATAGTGTGTTTTGGCACAAGGTCTGCATTTAAAGCCACACCAGAGGTGTTCAGCTAGGATTTTTTTTTTAAACATTTATTTAACCAGGAAATTAAACTCTTGAGATTAAAAATCTCTTTTACAAGAGGGTCCTGGCCAAGATTGGCAGCACATTTAGTTACACATAAAACAAAATACATTAATTTACATATACAGAAATATACACAAGTCACTCGAAACATTTACAATCAAATGATTCTAAAACTAGATCCTTTAAAATACATTTAAAATCAGTTAGTGATACCAACTCTTTTAAGCATAACTTATCTTGTAATTGATTCCAATCAAATGGAGCGGCATAACTAAATACCCGTTGACGCTAACTTTAGGGATTCTTAAAAAATAATTGTCTTGTGAGCGAAGACCATAATTCTTTTCACCTTTTTGTAGGACTTGGCTTTCTGCAGACCAGTCAAGTTCTTCCACACTGACTGACTCAATCATTTCTTTTTAAACCTTGCCTTATACACAGAGGCATTGTCATGTTAGAAAAGAAAAGTGTGTCCTGTCCAAACTGTTGCTATAAAATTAGAAACACACAATTCCCTAGAATATCATTATGTGCTTAAATATTAAGATTTGTGCTCATGGAAATTACAAAAGAAGTCAAACCTGTTCATTAGAAGGGGGTGTCCCAATACTTTTGGCAATATAGTGTACATGTTGAACAAGATTGGCGCAAGAATTGAGCCTTGTGGGACTCCGCATGTCATGGAAGTCCACTTAGACTTATGCTGTCCTATACTCACATAATAACCTCTCCCTTCTAAGTATGACCTGAACCATTTGATTACCATCCCAGAAAGCCCGACCCAGTTTTCCAGTCTCTCTAGAAGTATGTTATGATCGACCGTGTCAAACGCAGCACTGAGATCTAGTAGTACCAGCACTGATATTTTGCCAGAATCAGAATTTAAACGAATATCACTTATTATCTTTATGAGCGCTGTCTCTGTGCTGTGATACGATTAAAAAACATGACTGGAAATTGTCCAGGTATCCATTTCAGTTTTAGTAGTTGTTTTTGCTGATTAAAAACAACTTTTTCAATAATCTTGCCTATAATATTGGTCTATAGTTGCTCAATATGGTGTTATCAAGATTGCTCTTTTTTCAGGAGGGGCTTAACAACGGCACTTTTTAGGGAGTTTGGAAAAGTTCTTCACCACTTCTAAGAGATCTGCTTCTAAACAGTTAAACACACTTTTGAAAAAAGATGTGGGAAGTGTGTTGCTGTAATTGCTGCAAAAACAGACATAGTAACCTCTTTCTGAAATTATGGCCGAATCTGTCTGACCTCCGCATAACTTGAGGGTGTGCTAATCGCCTTTCTGATATTACTGATCTTCTCAGAAAAGAAGGAAGCAAACTCATTGCATTTGCTGTCAGAGAGCATTTCACTGGCAATCTGACTTGGGGGGTAGCCTGTATTGGTTTTCCTATCCATGTCATTCCAGTCAAACCTTTACATTTCATTTTATTTTTGCATTTCCCCCCCATTGTCATCTCTGATCTTGCCATTTTTCCTCGTCTCCTCTGTATTTTTTGCCGTTGCTCTGTACAGCCATGCCATTCTCACGAAACTTCCTGTCTGAAGAGCAGCTGCTGTGCTCCATCTGCTTAGACGTGTTTGACAATCCGGTGTCCACACCATGTGGCCACAGCTTCTGCATGACATGCATCGGCCACTACTGGGACTCAGTGAAGCACTGCCAGTGCCCCCTCTGCAAGCAGACCTTCAAGAGAAAGCCCGATCTCCACATTAATCGAACTCTCCGTGAGATCATCGAACAGTTCAAGCGCATGAAGGAAAACCCGGGGGCCTCTGGAGGGGACAGGGCAGGTAGAGAAGCTGAGGAAGGCGTAAGAAAACAAGACTCAGTGGATGGGACAGTAAGGCCAGGCCAACTACCAGGTTATCTTCTTGAGGAAATGAAGCAGAGACTCGCCCGGCACAGAGCATACAGCATTTCTCTGGCCTCTCACAATGAAACAGGGTCTGAACTACCTGTCACACCAAACACTGAGAGTACTAGTGACACCCAGCCACCTGGTTTTGCCAGACAGGTGTCCCTGCGAAGGTATACCCTGAGTGGGGCGGCAGATGCCATGAAAGTGCCCCTTTGTCCAAAACATCACCGTAACCTGGAGCTGTTCTGTCGATCTGATCTGGAGTGTGTTTGTGTTGAGTGTGGACAAACGGAACACCAGTCACATGACATCACATGTGCCGAGAAAGAGTGGCAGAGTCATAAGGTAGGATGAAATGAAGAATAAGTAACAACAGGTACTAACAGAAAATCTGTAAAAGCCTTCAGATAAAAACTGTGGCCCAAAAAACTGTTATTACGTAAGTCACTTTAAAAATGTGTGAATTTTATTGTATAAAGAAAAGAAAAGAAATATTAAAGTGGCATTTGCAAACAATTCAATCCACTTTTCTGTGTTTTAGCAGTGACTTTTAACCAACTGGTGTCACTTAGTATACTGTAATGTAGAACTGGTTACCTGGATAAATGAAATAAATAAAAATGTTTCAAAGAACATTTTCACTTCAGTCCAGCGAGTTCAAGAACTCGCAAAAACTCCCGTAATAATCTCTAAAGATGTTTCCACTGTGAAATTAATATCTTACTTACATTTATACATCTTCACTTTGTTGGTTCTGAAGAGAGAATTAACCAGAGAATTCAGTCAGCCAGTGCTCGCAGTGACGAAACAGCGTGTTTCAGCTACTGTTGCTTTCGTCAACGAAAATTATGACTAAATATAGTCGTCAACGAACCTTTATCACGTGACGAAAACGAGACGAGACGAGACGAAAATGCTGGTCATGTGACGATGACGAACTAAAACTAATAAAAACTAAAATGACAGCTTCACACAAAGACTAGACTAAAACTAAAATTAAAACAGGCCGCCAAAAACAACACTAGTTTCAGCGATGACTCATCTGAACTCCTCTGATTGGTCCTTGCATTCATAAGCTAAACATAATCGTATGGGATTGGTTATAATTTAAAAATATAATTTATAATTTGAATTTAGCAGCTGGTGATGTTTTTCTTTTATATATATATATATATATATATATATATATA